TTGTGAGGCTGCATACACTCAGTCCGATTTCAATAATAAATAATATTGGGAGCAGCTTTTCTCCAGAAATTTATACAGTGTTTAAAATGACTTTTTCACAATCACAGAAAGGTTGTCTGAATCCAGGAATGGTTTCATTCACTTAACTATGGGGCTGGCATTTCCCTTTCCTGGGATGGCTGAGACACGGTTGGCATTCTGATGGGGGCATTTCCCTTCTTGCCCTGGGCCATCTCTCCTGTGATACCACATGGCCACTTCACCTATCAGAACTTTAATTACAGGGGTTTCATATTGATTTTTGAAGAACACGAATTTCTCCCATGAGCTGCTTTTAGGAGGATGCTTTTCTGGCCCCGGTAGTTTTATTTTTGCCGTTTTTAAAACCATTTTTATTTAAGACTAGTTTCATTTCACTGTTGTCAGAAAATGTGGTTTGTGCAATGTCTGTTTTTTTTTTGAGAATTTAGTGAGTTTTTCTTATAGCCCTGCATGTGACTAGCTTTTGTTACAGTTCCATGGACGTTAGGGAAAAAAAGGATGTTCTCTGTAAAGACAAACCTTGTCATATAAGAACAATATTGTTCAAATACTCTATATCGTTATTTTTGTGCCATTGATTTATTCAAGACTGAGGTACTGTCTTAAAGTCTCCCACTCCTAGTACAATTTTCCCCCTTCTGCCATTTCTGTTATATATTTCAGTCCTATGTTATTTGATTCTTAAGATTTGTGAGTTTTATATGTTCATTGTGCATTGTGCCCTTTATCAAAATAAGACTCTTAAATCCTATTTAATGCACTTGGTCTTGAATAAGACTTTCTCCTATCTTGCTACTGCCATGCCTGCTTTAATTTATATTCATTTATCCTTTTAGTTTCAAATTTTCTTTTCTAACATATTTTAGTAGGGGAACGCAAAACAAAGAGATAATTTAGAAATGTTTTTCATTCACATCATGTTTTCCTTCCTCTCTTTGCAAGTATCCCTTACATACAAAATGCAGTGGGATTTGAAAAAAATGAATCTGAAAGTTTTTGTCACTTAATAAGGTTGTTTAATCTGATACTTATCATAGTTTTTTGTGTTACTTCTGTCATTTTGGTTTTATGCTGTTTTCCATGCTTCACTGCTTTTATTACCTTCTCGCCTCTGCTGGCTCCCTTATGCACCATGGACTGACTATATTTTCTTTGACTTTTACCCCCTCGGTATTTAGAATCTACTAGTGTTTCCCTTTTAGTTGTTAAAAAAACATGCTTGAACCTATATTTCTCCATCAATAATAACAGCTTTAATCGATCGGTTCCCATATGATAGGCACTTCCCATACAGTATATGATGAAATTATAGCAACCATTGAATGAGGTGGGGAATGTTATTTTTATATATATTTTAAAGATAAAGTCACAAAGAGGCTAAGGACAGAATTTACATAACTTTTCCAGAATCCAGAGCTAATATGTGAACCCAGGCAGTTTGACTCAATAGCCTGCCTTCTTAGTCATCTTACTATATCGCCTTTCCATTTTCAAGAATTAAAGTATATTCCTACATCCATGTAAATGGAAAAAGTTATTTTACTTCATTTTTTTCTCCCCATTTCTTTAATTTCATTTTAGAACCAGATGATGCCATTAAAATTTGATAATACGTGTTTTCTCCCTAAAGGATTATCTTTTATGTTTATACTATGTAGTAATTGTATGATTTAGACTTAAACCTTGTTTAACTGGGCTGACTTTTTTTATTCTTTAGTTTGACTTTGGGGCAGCTCAAGTATGTCTTCATGTTATTATTTTCAATACAGACAAGGTGATATGTCTTCAGAGCTGCTGAATCTAAGCACGTGTGGTATGTTTGCTCATGAACAAAAACTTGGCTGTGTATGGGTTTACTGGATTTATAATCCTTTCTAGATTCGAACCCTATGCAGTATTCCATTTCCTCTGGCATCTAGTGTGCAGAAGAAAGTGTGATCCAAGAGTGATTTTTTGTGTCTACATGTTTATTATATATGTATAGGTTTATCTATACACACACACACACACACACACACACAAATACCCACACTCACTTTTCAAAAATGACCTTAATTGTAGGGTGCAGTCTCCATTCTGCTCACCAAGGAGCCGTGGTACTGGGCTTAGATTGGCATTAAACACATAAGACTAGGCTTTATCCCGAACCAAAGTTACTCGTCCTTGAAAAAGGATAGAGGGCAAGCATGTGTGGGAAGGGCTTAGTGAAGGTCTCTGGGCTCTGGACAGGTTACTTTGTTCTGGTCCCTCTAGGGAAGTGTGTGGTCGGGAGAGACAAAGCTGATCTCAGCCTGAGAAAGCCATCAGCCCCGGGGTTTCTTCACCTCTCATACGCAGCTAGTCCCATAGGCCCTTTGGTTAGGTGTGTGTGTCTCTGTACAGTTAGGTAGCTACCTGTCTCCGCAGCAGTACGAGACTGCCTCCCAACCTGCAGGGCAGGTGCATTGCAAAAATACCTGGTACTCATTATCAGGGAATGATCACAAAAGAAGTACAAAGGTTTGAGCAGATATGTGGCCCTCAGACGAATTCTCATCTAGAATCTGGGATAGAATTCCTCCACTTAGTATTGGGTCAAATGCTGGCTCCCAGAAATACCACCAGAACCTTTTTCTAAAACAGACCTGAGTTTATTGCTCACCTTGGTGCAGTAGGCAGAATAATGGCCCCTCGAAGACGTCTGCCTCCGAATCCCTGGAACCTGTGAACATGTCACTTTCCATGGCACATGGGACTTTAAAGATGTGAATGAATTAAGGATCTTGTAATCATAAAAGTCCTTAAATGTGAAAGATTGAGCCAGAAGAATCAGGGCCAGCAAAGGAGATGTGATCATGAAAACAGAGCTGGGGACGATGTGATTGTTGGCTTTGAAGGCGGAGGAAACCATGAGTCCAGGACTGCAGGCACCTTCTAGAAGCTGGGAAAGCAAGGAAATGAATTATCCTCTGAGCCGCGGAAGGAGCACTGCCCTGCTAGCACTTTGGTTTTGCCCAGGAAGACCATTTTGGATTTTTTTACCTCTAGAACTGGAAGACAATAATCTTGTGTTGTGTCCATCCACTAAGTGTGTGGTAATTTGTTATGGCTGCAGCGGGGAACTAGTCAGCTTGACAAGGGAGAATGCAGAAGTCCTGATAGTGTCTCAGAGAGGGGAGGGCAAAGCTGGAATATTGCTTGACACTTTAAAGTCCTGTGTAAAGGCAGGTGTTTTAATGTGAGAGCTTGATTGGCATTTGGCAAAGATCATGACTTAATGATTTATGATTGGTGGACACTGTAAAGCAAGAATCTTAAGGAGAGGGGTTCAGAGGGTCAGTTGATGCTTTCTACTGAAGAGCTGATGAGATGTTCCTGGAATGAACAGTGACCTTGTCTGTGATTTCTGTTTTTCTGGATGAGAGTTTCCCAGAATAGTAGTATTGATACAGAGAGGAAGTAACAAAGTCATGTCAATGTTTGCAGCAGGTTGTGTGGTGGGTAGATGACTTGGGATCTCAACTGTAAGGGGGCTGTGACTCAGGGCCAGACCTTCAGGTCACCCCAAGGCTGCTGGAAAGGCTACAGAATCGTGTAGTAATCTTTTCCTTCCTTCGGACTTTTTCCTTGCAACTCAAATATTTAAGAGCACAAGCAGGTTTATGCTATTTCTGGAGGCAGTTGGAAGAGAATCCATTTCCTTGCCTTTTCCAGATCTTAGATGACACCACAATTCCTTGGCTTTTGCACTCCATCCTCCATCCAAAGCCAGCAATGGCAGGCTGAATTATTCCCAGGTGTCCTCTCTCTGGGTCTCTGTGGCTGGGGAAAGTTCTCTGCTTTCAAGCACTTGTGATGAGATTGGCAGGCCAGTCCCCCCATCTCAAGTAGATCTTACTCTTGGACATATCTGCAAAGTCCTTTTTGCCATGTAAGGTAACATTCACAATTCTGAAGATTAGGGCATGAACATCTTTCAGGGAACCATTATTCTACCTGCTACATCTGTAGTAAATCATTTTCACAAGTAAACAGTTCCTCTGCCTTTTGAGGGCGCTGTTCCCGTAACTCATGATTATTCTATAAATATTTTTATAGAATTCATGTTTATTTCATGTGTCTAGCAGCCTTGTTATTTGTCAAAAACAAGGTGCACAATTAGCCCTTGGCTCTGTTAATACCTGCTCGATGGTGTGGAAGACTTGAGTCCTTCAGCTGGTAGGGTGATGTTTGTGCTCTGATGTTCTTGTGCTGAAGAGGAACAGCCCTTTCTCTGGTTATTAAAGTCACTGTGTCACTGTTGTCCGGGTCTCCAGTGGGGTTGGGAGGAAATCTCTTAACCTCTTTATGACTAATCCCCCTGTTTGGGCTAGTGAAAATATCTTCAGTCTTAAAGATTGTTGACCAAGAGTCCTAGTTTCGATGGTTATCCCACTTCTGTACCTTCCTGTTATGAAAGAGGGTTTAAATGGGAAGGTAGGGTAGGAAAAATCAGTTCCTGCTAGTTGGTTGTCTTTGCTAAGCATTTCCTCTCTTATCCTTCAATATGCTCATGATTCTCCTTATATTGCTTGGTTCTCAAGTATGCCCGATGTGCTGCTCAGACTCCCTGTCTCATGATGCTGAGTGTCCTGGGTGTTCCCCAGGTTCACGCTAACCACATTCTCTATATGCCACAGTGATGGGAAGGATGCTGCAAGCCCCTTCTTAAGGGGTGTTTCAAGTTATTTTCAGGACAACTTGAAAATAGCTCTTCCGTTACACAGACGTGTGTGGGAATGACGCTTCCTGTTCAACCTTACTGAACTTCTAGCTAGGAGGAATACCTCCACTAAATGCCCAGGATTGGGCAGATTAGATTAACAGAAATGCTTTTAAACTATAAGGAGTTATATGAATATAAGCATTGTTGCTTTTTTCTATTATGATTATTATGAAAAATATTAATAATACGCACTTCTGCTTCGTCTCTTGTCCAGACTCACCTTGACACCCTGGAAAGAAGTGTGAACCCCAAGCAGGTCTACTTCCGGCAGGAGGCCCTGTGCCAGACCCTCGGAGAGAATCCATGTCCCTTGGTGACCATCACAGCCATGCCCAAGTCTAACAGCGCCGACCATCTGGAGCAGTTCCGTGAGTAGAACAAGGGTCCCCTTCTTTGAAGATGCTTTGATGTCGTGGAAGCATTCTGTCCCTTTTGGATCAAAAGCTCCATAAGGGTTGGGAACTGGTCCATCTTCATAGAAATACACGTCCCGTCTTCTTGGTAGGACACGAAGGGTAAAATTAATGTCATCCTGTTGTTAAAAGGAGAAAAAAATCAATTGCAAATGGAGGGACATGAAATGACTGGGACTGAGAGCAGTTAACTAGGGACATTCCCTTTCTCTCTGACAACAAGCCCAGGACTGGGAATCACATTGTCCAGCCTCTGATCCAGGGACTTTCTCACCACGCTCCTTGCCACTATGCTGCTCCCAGTGCCCGTCAAGGTTTGGAAAGGAAGAAAGTGGAGTTTTGGAGTCCGGGCTGGAGAATTCCTTGATAATCTGAATATCATTTGGATCTGAAGGGCTGATAAGTATGGAGGAAGCTCTAGCCAAGAACTGTAAAACCAGCCCCAAACACGCAGACATACGTGTGCTCACAGATTCCTCAACACATGCAAATGCCCTTTCAATGTTAGAGTCCTGAGCACCAGTGTCTTACCTATAACCTGCCAGTTTTTAAAGTTGGCTTCTAGACCTTAGGTAGGCAAGAAAAACCAAACAGAATGAGGAATGCTTTGCAATACAGAGAAATCTGGGGATGAAAGCAAAGACCAGGGAATAAGAATCCTGCTAATTTATCCCCAGAAGATACAGCCTTACCCGATAAAGAGCTAACTGTGCTCAGGGGACTGGTTGGTGGGTACGAAATGTAGTTTCTCACACCCCATCAGCATGTGACAATGGATGCTTAACAACCTGGCTAATCAACAACTGATTATCCCATCTGAATTAATGAGGCCCTAAAATGCTTTAATGAATAATAAGGGTTTTCCAGAAATTCTCTTATGTGTTTTGTGCATTTAAGAGCAATTTCTGTAGCTGTCATGGAGTCCTTCACTTGTAGATAGCCAGTTCTTGAAAGTTAGAGACGCTAATCCTTCCAGGCAACCTTCACAGAACAATTATTTATTTAAGAAAGTGCATCTATGTATGTCTGCGTCCTGCAGGTTCAGTTCCTAAGTAGGATAATTACAATGTATAATTGCAACCTGGAGCTGTATCTGCTTTCCCATGTTTGTTTATACTGACATTGGTGCTTTGGTTAACATTGTGACTAGAGAGATCATTCTTACTCTAAGGAGAGGACTTGAAACACGGTAAAGGCCCCTAAATAATTTGGCACTCTGCAATAATTTAGTTAAAAAAAAACAAAAACACACCAGAGCTAGGATCTCTCAGTATGCTCTTACATGAACCGAAGGAGGCTGGTTTCTGCTTGCTCTGTAAGATTAGTAATAATAAATGTATATTCTCACGTGTCATTTAAGTTTTCTCTCTTAAACATGTACTAATACATCAGCTATTGTTCATCTAAAGAGGTACCCCGGGCAGGCCTGGAGACGGCCCGTATAATAGTGAGATAAATGCTGTGTTCTTTTTGGCTTAATGGACTGGCAAGTGACAATCCTTGAGCTGGATCTCGAGGGGACCAGGGCTTTGCCCCAGGAGCAGGGACTAATTATGGCCGTCCTTATGGCTATGCCAACAGGGCCCGTGCTTTCAAGGGCTTTGCACTTTGTTTAATGCCCTTCTGTCACCATCTTTAAGTTTGTAAAAGTAGTTTTGAACAAGGGGCCATGCATTTTTGTTTGGCAGTGGGCCCTGCCACTTCCTGGGACTAATCTAAGGTTGCATAGCCAAAAGTGACAAAGGCTAGTACCCTTCCCAGGTCACCATCCTCGATTTTGAAGTCGTGCAAGAAGAGTTACAACCTGTTGTGCCTGTGCCCTGGAAGTCTTACTCGTGTGGCTTATGTAGCTGACTGGTGTCTTTCTTAACGGGGGTTGAATTCAGGACTCTCTGCTGTGGGTCACATTTGTTTGCCTGGGTTCTTGCCCCTCTGAAACAGAATTGAAAGGCAGAGACACAATAGCAAAGCAGAGTGAAAATTTTATTTGAATACACTCCAATGGAGGAGCAGGCCAGAGTTAAGGTAGACCAAGGCCTCCATCTATTAGGGGAGGGTCTCTTCATCATGTCCTAGTTGGGCGGTGCCTTGCCTCTTTGAATGACAGGGTGAGGTCATTTGACCGACAGCTCTAGGTATACACCCATTCCTCTTGGTGCTTTTGTCTTTTCCCACAGTGCACACAGAAAAGCCCATGGTGTGTGGGGAGGTGAGGAGCAAAACCACAGTGTAAATTTTATTTTAATGAGATTATGATGAGGTGTGGTTTGGGTAGTTCTTTCCTTGAACGTATATCCCCTTCCTCAGTTGCTCATGGCTGTCTTTCTACCTAACATCTCCGTTTTAAGAGGAGGTGAGTGGGGCCCAGGGAGGTTAAGTACCATGGTCACTGGTGTAACAGATTTCAGATTTTCTTCGAATTCTGGAGTTCATCCACACCACCAGTGTGTGGGCCCAGCCATCAGGACAGGTGCTCAGCATTACTTTCAGGCTCCACCCTGTAAGCCAGAACTTCCCCTCCTTCCTGTGGTGTGTCCTCACATTACTAGAAGCTAGCTTAGTATAGTTTAAAGGAACTCCCATTAAACTGACCACAGATAAATGCATTACCCTCTTCCTGTTCCCAGTGAATTTTATTTTCCTTTCCTGACCCAGTGGAAGCACTTGCATGGTGGAAGGGAGTGGAAGGGAAGATTCAGATCCCCCCTGGATCCCAGTACAAGAATGAGATTGCCTGGCGTGGGCCACGGTGTGGGAACAGTCTCAGATGGGCTGCCGGAATTAGAAGCTTGTTTGGCAGTTTGCAATATACACATGAACAAATGCCATTGCTGTGTTTCTGAAAGAATAAAAGGCAGCACAATATAAACACCATCTATCCTCCAATTAGCCACGCCTGCAAATCAAAAATAAAACCACTTCACTTCCTTTGAACCAAAAAATGTGATGCATTGTTTTAGGACAAGAAAACAGCAAGTGAGCCAGGGGCTGGATTCTCCTGCCTCCAGGCCACCCTGCCCGTGAGCTTCAGTTGTCCTACCTGCGTTCCCTCTCCCAGGGACTAGGGCCACTTCCTTCGCAGCTGTATGTAGCTGTGATGGGGCTGGGTTCTGGGTCAGTGGCTGTCACTCACTGCTCATAAAGAGGTATTTGTGCACTCAAAGACTTTCTTTTCGTTGTCTAGGATTATCACTTCAGTCTTGTTTTAGAAACCCAAGAAATAAGAGCATGGCTATGGGGCCAGGGAGCCAGCCCCTGATTGAGACGGGTTCCCCTGCTGGTCTAGCCTGGAGTCCCAGACCTGGATATCATCCAGGACAATTTGTTGATTACTTTTAGTCCTTCCTAGGGTTTGGGCTCCAGAGAGGCTCCTAGAAGGATTAATTTGGTTTGATTTTTTTTTAAAGCATTTTTTGAAGATACTTTTCCCGGCAACATTTAGCCTTACTTTCTTGATAAATATTTTTTTTTTCAGTTCAGCAGTAGCCAGACTTGCTGTGTAGCCTTTCTTGCTATCTGGAGAATTGAGGATGGGTGCCTTTGCACAATGCTTCCAAGACATGGAAATGCCCTTTTCAGGGAGAAAAGAACTGGGTGTTCCTGATAAATTGGCATGGAAACCATTATGGAAGAGACAGGCTTGAAGAGAAATTGCTAAGTGGGATAAACAGCTCTTTCTAGCATCAGACAGTCTTACAGATGAGGCATTGGGGAACTAGGAATCCAGGCCTTTCCTAGCTGGTAGGATTCCAGATGTCAAAGGAACCTTGGATGTCTGGGGTCTGCAGAACAGAGTCAGACAGGAGTGGATAGAATCCAAGAGAAATGGACAAAAACATCAGATGAGCAGGTCTGGGGGTAGGCTTGGTGGGCAAGGTCAAGCCAGGAAATTGTTGCTGGTGCTTTCTGAGACTAGCGTCCGCTGGTTAAGTGTTCAGGCATAATTACACTTAGCCCAGCTGCATTATTTAACACACTGTATGTTAATAGGTGCTTTGATTAGCAGACCCCTTCTTGTAGGTTTATTTTTAAGGACATATAGTTTGTATGTTAGTAATGTTAGGTAGAAAGATAGACATGAGCAGCGGGAAAAGGGAGATTAGGTTCAAAGAGAAAGCCGCCCATACTCTGACCAGACAGGGGGCCCCATGTGAAGACCACAAAGGCTTTGTGGGGAGATAACTTCCTCTCCAACCGGATCCCCAAAGGGGCACAATAGAATAGAACTAAGAACTGCCCAAATCACATCTCAGCCTGGGAAAAGGACAGGCCAGCTGAGAGGGGTGGCTATATAGAAAGACCTGGAAATCAAATCATCCCACCTTGTCAGCCAAAGAGGCACCTCCTAGCCAGAATGCAGTTATATAAGCCTCCTGCCTAAAGGTCCAGGTCCTTTGTCTACCTTGACTCTGGTCTGCTCCCCACCTGGAGTGTATTCAAATATGCTCTGCTCGTCTATTGTAAGATAAATTCTAGCCGAAATAAGCAGGCGACGAGAGGCAACAAAGGGCCAGGCTATTTGAGTGCAATCCGCAGGCGAGGTTCACCAGTCTACGTAAATGGAGGCGGGGAAGTCATGCCTGGTCAGGGAGGTGGGGGGCTTATGAGGGATTAGGAGGGGGAGGGGTGGGCAAGCTATCCTAGGGGGCGTGGAGAGTTATGATTGGCTAAAGGTGACATGATAGATAACTAGAAACTTTTTTTCTTTCTAAGAGGGAGGAGGCTGACATCTGGGTCTTAGTTGGCACCTCAGAAGGATGGAATTCAGGAAGAGCTGTCCCCTTTCCATATAAGGCACGGACCTTGGGGTCTGGTCTGTTCTCCTTTTATGGTATCTCTCTGTTCTGTTTGCATGTCCTTGTTTTTCCTTCCTCCAGCCTAACATCTGTGATGTCTCTGCCTTTTGATTCTTTGTTGTGGTGGGGACAAGGACTGAAGGAGAAGAAACCAGCTTG